CGGACATATTTTCTGACTGGAAATGCTCTAAAACTGAATAACTCATTTGCTAGCACTAGAGTTTAAAAAGAGTGTTAAACCTATTTGATATAATAAACAGTTAAACAGGATTATTCAGGCTATGTCTATCACAAACGATATGCGTAGGCCGAGAGCTTATGCATTTACTTCAGAGTAGACCTGCTTACATGTGATGAATTACTTTGCATGACATCTCAATTATAATTAAATGAAAACCATGCATTAATGTTGCCTGCTTGCGAATAAATGTTGGGAAAATTCTTAAAGAGCTTAAGTTGATTCCCTAAGCTTCATGTCGAAGTATTAGCATAAAAGATAAAGTGGTCAATCAAAGTAAGTTTTTAACTTGTATAGCTACTTACAGTGAAAACAATAAAGATAATGCATTACTTGCTTTTATAATGAGACATCTGAAAAGGACTTTTTACTTCAGCATAGTCGTTAAGAAGCATATGTATTCAAATCTAAAGATGTTTAAGTTTATGGTTTCTAAAATATTTCCTAAATGTAGTTCATGTGAAGAACTAGAAGAAATGGCTTGACGGACTTAAAAATGAAAAAGCTTTAAAGCAAATGTTATTTATTATTGCTGATAATAATTATAAATTTGTATTACTTTTCCGTAATGATGAACTACATATTTTCTCAAAGAAAAATAAATCAGATTTGATTACATCCCTGAGAGGCTAAGAACTAAAAGAACTTTATTATGGTGTGGTGTATTTAATTATAGCAAAGCACACTAGGGCTATCTGCCTAAGGGGAGGGATGCCTTTGTGGAGGACTTTCTAGGGGAAACTGGCTCATATACGCGTTACACATGGGGGAAACCACGAAAACACCCATGCAGCCAGCCCGTTAGCGGGATTCGAACCTCGGACCGAACTAGCAGTGTTCAGCGACTTTACCGCTCGGCCGCTGGTGTGCCTGAACTTTATTATGAAAGGTCTAAGTTTCTGAAAGAATTTTTGATGTTTTTTTATTCACTAGAATAGTAATGTAGTTACTTTCATAACAGGATTTTCCAACTCATTTCAGATAGAGGAAAAGATACGAATCAAATATAATTTTCCAAAATTTTATTTTACTTTTTATTAGAAGTTCAGATTTTGAAAAGCAACAGTTTCAATCAGAAAGTTCTGGGCAAAAATTTTGTTTGCAAATAATCCTCATAAAAGGTAACATAAGAAAAAATCATTTCTTAAATATTTTTATTTTGAAAAAAATCAGAACTGTTGAGTTAAAATACCCCATTTCAGTTAACCTTCTTCATAATTGTGAGAACACATTAAATAGACTTACACAATATTTTTCTTGGATATGTAATTTCAGGTTTTTAAGTTTGTTTCGTTTGCTTTTGTTCAGGAGTTTTAAAAATCTAGATTTTTAAATATATTTCTTTTACTTTTAAACTACTCGTATGTATTAATGTAATTTGTATAAAGCAAGCGTTTTTCTTTAGATGAAACAATAGGAAGTGAGAGAAAAAAGACAATGGCTAAGATATTCTTTTAAAGAGCATTAGAGTATTAGTTTATTAATTTCATAACGTGAAATCTATCTAAAATCACATAAGCTATGTTATTAATAACACAAACTACAAGAAAACTTAATGAAATATTATTTCTAAGCAAACTAGAGCTGACAGGATGTTATTTAGAAAGGCTTACTCCACAGCAGGAACCTCCAGCATAAGTTGGAATCTCAGCAATCTAGTTGGAATTTTTAATAAGAATGGAGAAAAAACTGAAATAATGAAAATTTGTTCTTCTGCATTAAATGTATTAAATAATCAGTTTTATTCCTTTATTTACCGTGCAATAAAATTATACGAATCTAACACCAATTCTGTTGCTAAATTCTACATTTAAATGGAATTTTTCTGTCTCGCAAGAGTATATTTTAACAAATAATTAAAGCTGAGAAATTTACATGTAACATATTTAAAAACTCGTAAACGTTACTTTAACAAACAACTTAGGTTGAAATAAAGCGTAACAGTTCATGTATTATACTTTCGGAAGACAGGTGTAATTTCTTCAAGATTTATAAGCATTCTGTTGTCGATAATAATCTTCACTCGCGGCTTAGTGATGCTCGTCATAGGTAATGTTTTCATATGCATTGACTTTTAGTGTCCCTGGTATCACATTCGAAAAGGATACAGTCTTTTTCCTGTAACCCATTTAAATTCTAAAGTAAACAAAAAATATTTTTAATTCACAAAATTTTCGTTCATGATTTTCCTTCCGAAGAATATGGAGGGGGATTTTCAAATTTTCACAGATTTTGTTTCCACTGGCAGCTTGAGATGACGGTATTTTTGTTATTAGGATTACAACTTATCTTCTGGTTACAGTTAATTGGAAAAAAAGTCGAAATTTGAAGTAGGACGAGGAAAGGACGAGGAAGGAAAACGAAAGTATATAAGCCGAAATATTAAGTAGGACGAGATCTGTTAATTGGTATTAAACATCTCTTCTAATTAAAACTTCTATCTAATCACAAATTTAATTTAAACTTTAACATAATTAACCAGCCTAGACAAAGTAATTAAGTACTTTCATGTGGTGTGAATAAATGATGTTACTACAAACTGTACGGGATAGGAAAAATCTTCTAAACGCACATGGGGAATCAGACTCACAGAATAAGAATCAGAATCACAGAATGGGAAATAAATCTTATAAGAACTGAGATAAAATCTGTGTTGACCAGTGAAACTTGCAGAAAAATATTAAAGTTTATTCTTAAAATTAGATAAATTGTCAAAACAAAATCTTTCCTCAAATCGTGTTCGAATCTCAAGTGAAGTATAAAATCCCAAGACTCCGAATATAGCAAAAATTGATACTGAAATACTAAAACGGTTAGAAAAAGCAGCAGTCACCTATTGCTTTATATTAAGTTACAGAATTTAAATGGAATAAATTGTAGCAACGTAAACTGAAATGCATTTCTCTTTCTGTTATTATAATTACATTGAATAAACTGAATTATGAAATTATCCTAAAAACCATAATTTAATACTAATTAGAATTATTATCATAAATTCATAAATTAAGTATGATGTCAATGCAATAACCATTTTATTACTAACTTCTTACATAAACCAAAGCGGAATATTCATAAGAAAATTTCGCCTTCCCCCTTGAGTGCTGTCATGGTGTAATTGGTAGTCCGTCCACCCAGTCAGAAGATACGGAGTAAGAATCCCAGGAAGGTAATAGCTGATTCATATTTCCAGACTTCCAAAAATTCTAATAGCTCTGCATACTTTCCTCTGGAAAATTTACTTAATAGATAAAATGAAAGAGCAGAAGCAAAATTTACTTCTAAATACTAATACCTTTAAATCTGGTAAACATACTTTAGCTCTCTCTTAGATTTATGAAACAATTCTTATTTTCAATATAAAAAATGGAATATTTTCCAGTTAGAAATTTACTAGTATATAAAATAAAAAATTATAAGACAAAATTTACTTCTTAATATTAATATTCTTTGAACTTCATAAATATATCTCAATTTTTTAGTCTGGAACATCTGAGATTATTCTTGTTTGCTTGTTTTAATATTGAAATTATGATCTATAAAGTCAAAGTATCTAAGTAAAACTAAGCATGTAATTGCAAATTTTAAATTATCTGCTTTAATAAAAATAATCAATTAAATGCATATTTATAAATGTTATAAAAAATTACAATCAATTATTGGATTTTTTTAAAGCAGATTCTCAATCCCTTATTTTTGCTGTTTTATGTGCAACGGAAAATAAAATCCTGGCAGTAAGAACGTAACTGAAAATAAAAAAAACAATAATAAAATGTTGAGAGAGAAACTTAAAGCTCATCAAAAAACAATTTACTCATTTTTTCCTATTACATTCGTTCTTTTCAATAGCATTTCAGCAGCAAAAGCATCACGTGCAGCAAACGTAAATGAACAATTTAAGAAAAGAAAATCACTCCTGAATTTCTTTTTTCAATAAGTGTTTCTCAACTTCCAATTCCTAAATGCTTCCATCATTGTCAGAACCTAGTTATTCAACTCTAGGTGCGGTCTGCATTACTTAGGTCATCATCCATATTAGAGCAATCCCCCAAGAAATGGACAACTAATAAACTAAGAAAACAAAATTCTATCCAGTCTGGCTGAGGCAATCATTTCTAGTCTTACAAACGAATGGGGCGTATACACTCTCCAGAGCATAGATCTTTTATCATGCATGTTTAAGTTACACCCACCCCACAAAACGTATATATCTTTAGCACTACGCTGAATACAGAATGAGCTGCAAGAAGTGCCACAATTTAGGTGATTGTTAAGGATGAACTCTCGCTTTCCCCCTTTCGGTTCAGATAGTGTACTTGAGATTTCCTTTTTATGAAACTCGTGCATTGTTTAATAAATAAATTGTTAGTCACCGACGCACAATAAAAGCTGAACGAAATTATAGTAGTTCAGATAAATGAATACCGTGAATTTTGTTGACGGAATTATTACCATGATAATGGTTCATATTAGTCATCTCAATGGCTTTATGAATGAGTCATTCTTTTACTGTATCACATATACGTGTGAAGTTTACGTTTATTGTCAGTTACAAGGTGAAAAATAAATTATTTTGTGTTTGTTTGAACAATGCTGAAGTTTTAATTTCTTATATTTGCATTTAGAATACTTCATTAATTTTCTTTTCAACTTACTTTGCGGATTTTGTTAGTTCTCATAATAAAATTGAGTTCTTTTGTTTAACTTTTTCTGATTACCAGTATGAGGTTAGAGTTTCAGTTTCACAAAGCGTTATTTCATTATCGCTAGTGAGTTTATCACAATGATGAATATTTAGCCCATAATTGTTGAAAGGTAGTTGACATATTTTTAATGATAATACCCTAGATAAGCACTGATTTCTCAGTCACAGTTAACTCCATTTCACATATTTATGCCTAACTCTTTGGATGCATGAAACTGTAGTATGAGGTAACTCAAATGAAAGAGTGAAAAAATATATCATAAATGAGTCTGAATCGGGTTGCCTATTTTAACAAGATGGTAAGTAAATCGTTATTAGGGGAATGTTTTTCAGTATATACATTATATTAATTAAACGTTAAAATCTTTTGATTAATTGTTACTGTTATTAACTGTTTGTGATAACTGAGAAATTAAATTAAAGTCAAGAAATTATTGTTTTCATAAGTGTTATTTATCAATGACAGGGTTTTAAATAGAGCTAAGCAAATTTTAAAAAATAATGTATATCTAAAAAACAAAAGATTGATATTTTCGTATCATCAATGACATATAGTCATTATCATCCTTTTTAATTTAATTTTATCTTTAAGTTTATTTTTATTTTTTATTTTTATTGTTTTTCCGTCAGAGGGATGCCTGTGGTCTTTTTTAGGGACAATGGCTCGTATCCAAGTTACACATGAGAGAAACCACGAAAATGCCCATGCAGCCAGCCCGTTCGCCGGGACTAGGACCCCAGACAAAATTACCAGTTTTTAGCGGCTTTTACAGCCCGGCTGCTGGTGGGCGTAAATTTAAGTTTCAGATTATATTTTGGAACATTATTTCTAAGCATTATACCATTTTTATGTGTTTATTTTATTAATGCAGTAATCATACAGCTATAATTTAGATAACAATTTATATAAGGATTTTTTTTTAACTTTCTTTCACTGATTCTTGAGTTTCATCTTGTATTATGATTTACTTATTTTATTTATTTTCTGCAATTCTGTATTAACTCTTGCTCTCGATATTAGCATCTGGATTTGCTTCACACTCTTTCCCATGTTATATGTATATAAAGGATATACACACATACAAGTACATAAATAATAATGCTCAAAGATGTAAATTATCTGTAATGTGAGCTATAATTATGCAAAGTTAACATAAATAAATGCATGTAACTAGAGAATTCAAAAATATTAGAAAACAAATTAACGTTAAATGACTTGGAATCAAATGCTTTCACAGCCATGTTGCTTCCGATCAGAACTGGAATAGATCTTAAGCATATAAGGTATTTCTCCCGCCTTCTTAAGGAGCCTTTGTGGCGTAGTTGTCTGCACGCTCAGCGCGTAATTGAGAGGTCCGCGTTTCGATTCCCGGAGAAGGCGTTTGTTAATTTTCCCTCTTGCCTGCTTCTAAAAATATACCAAATATCTCTACAAGCAGAAATCCTTTCAAGATGTTTATAGAGCTTGGTTTGAACTGAATAACTCAATCTAGTTCAAAACTATTCAGAAGATAAAGCTGTAGAATGAAAAAAAAAAAAACTATATAGATAAGTTTACACCAACTTTTTTAAAACCATAAAAATTTACACCACTAAAAATATTTTAATATTAAATATTCCAAAAAAATAATTTATTGTGATGTAGGTTCAAACTTAACAATCTCATTTATTATTCAACTATTTGTTACGCAACTGTATAATGGATAATTCGCTAGCAGTTCACCATCAAAACCTGAGAATTCATTTATTTATTCGTTCTGTGGGACCTGTTCATTTGTAGATGTCTAGCATATTTGTAGATTTCTGCAACTGTTGATGATTACAGCAAATCAGTATATTTATATCGATAATTTGGAGTCCTGTTAGAAAAAAGCTCGAAAGAAGGTTCATTGCAAAGAAAAGCAGTTAAGATATTTTTTAAGGGCTATGAATACCTTGAAGATTTATCAAGAAATGGTATTTAAGAATGGTAATAGGATAGTTCATAAACTACTTGAAAGCCATTAAGAATATAAAAAAAATTAGAATTTTGAAATAATCTACAATAAATTTATAAATGAAGTCTACATTTTCGATTTTGAAAGAATTAATCAAAACCATCTTTAATATACTGCGCCCACCAATTGGTAGTTCGGTTTGGGGTTCGAATTCTAGTAAACCAGCAGATTGCATGGAAGTTTTTTTCTTCATGTGTAACGTACATACTAACCAGCCCTTAGAAAGTACTCCACCAAGACATCTTACCCTTAGATAGCTCTCGAGTGCTTTGCCAAAGTAATGTAAACTAAACTTAACATACTGAATAGAACTTACCGCAGTTTTGGCAAATCTCTGGGATGAAAATTCAACAGTCAACGTATTGCAAATTGCTGCTCATGTAAAGAGGAATGTACTGACTGATTTTATCGATTATGGATTAAAGCAACATTGCCCACGCTGCATCAACTATGTTTTTTAAAAACTGAGTGAATTTTTCGAAATATTAATCTTCCGGTTACGTGATAGACATGGATTCATTGAAATTTAAAATACTTTTCTTCTTTAAAGAAACTGAAAAAGTTAAATGTTTTTACTTATCTTTATTACATGCTAGAGTAGTAAAGTTCTCTTAAAATACGCCCTCTTGGTACCGTGGTTCAACGTTCGAATACTTAATGATTTTTGGCCAATGGATATATCGGGCAGGTCATCTGAAGGGCATAACGAAACCCTTGCGAAAGTATTAGTTTAAAGCGTTCTGAATCTATACTGCTTTAGAATGCTTTGGATGTCTGATGTAAAAATTTTGGATTAAAATTCTTTTTCGTATTTTGCCTTCTTTACATTCTTAACTGAAGGCATAGTAAAAGGTTCTTTCCTTCACCTTCTTTCTGACTTCATGCAACGTCGTCGAAAAAAAAAATAAATGCAAGTTACTTGACTTTATTTTGGGAAAGTGCGAGAGCTGCTGTGTTACCCGCTCTCTTACCGTCTCGTACATCAGCCGTAAACTACGAAATGAAAGCCAGCTATCCATTTTAGGACGCAGATGCTTTCTCTGATTTATGCTGAAAAGCTATCCGTGGTTTACGTTCAGTCAAAAAGCCTTTAGGCATATATGAAAGGTTTTATTGAAGTGAATGTTGCAAATAACTCCCTGTCATGAATGTTGCAAGAAACGCCCTATCATGTGTGTTATATACACTTTTAGAGTGAAGCTGTTTGACTGAGAAAAATGCGAGAGGCTCCAGTTTACTTTCATTAGATGTATTTTGTGCGCTTTCAATAGACAAGTTCAGTGCGTTGTCTAAAAAAGCTGATGACACTACTGGTGAAGGATGTGCTAATAGAATTGATTTAACTCCTGTAAACATTGATGCAAAGCTATTTGTCTTTCCCTTTCTCCCCCGAGGGTCGATTAGGAGCAATCCCAGTGTTCTGGCTAGACCAGTATCTGGACAGACGTGAATTAATTAACAGCCTTCACAGTGACTAGAATCATCGTTTATTTGGTGGTAGTTTAGGTGGTAGGGACAATATGATACTGTCTTGTCTGCCTCTTGGTTGTGGGGACGCTACATGGCTAGATTCCGAAGGTAGTCTTTGTGGGTTTGACTCTCCTAGGTCAACATCATGGAAGTAAGAAAGGACTTACTTCCTGCCTCCATGGTCAACACTGGGAGACGGACGATGTCTAACATACGTTGCATGTTTTTTGATGGATTCATTTCAGTCTGTCATTGTCTAAGCGTTATACAAAACCCAGACATTGTGAAACTGAAATTGTCCACCCACCTGACTGACCGGGTGGGTTATGCCTTCTTGGTTCGCCTCAAGGGGTTGCTGTGATTGACTGTGTTAGGCAGTCTCGATGAATCTAGGTCTGATTGCTTCTTCCTCCTAGGTGTGCTGTCTTTTCCTTTCTGAACACCATAGGTCCTAAGAATGTTAATTTCGACACTTGCAGCTCACCTCTGGAGATGTTATGCCCTCTCAAAAATTTTCTTCTATCATGTTTAATGCCTATCATTATTATTAGAAAGTATATAACCTAAATAAAGAAAGCAAAAAGAAAATACTCACAAAACTTAATTCGTGAGTTCTGAAGTGGCATATTATAGTCCAAAATTCCACCTTTGAAAAACCTAAGCGGCATATATTTTTCTTTCTGCATTATCTCTTTTGGACCCTGAGATTAAAAAAAAAATCAAACTCAAGAATCCCAACAAGCCATAGTTATAACCAAAGAATCTCTAAGATTCTTTGGTTATAACTACTTTGATAATGTTAGGTTCAGGTACCTAATACGCACTGTTAGGTTCAAGTACTTTAACAAAGTAGGAGAAATCTTGCAAACTGGGAATGTGTTACCTATTTGGTACGGCTTTTTAATTTATTTTTCAGTGAGACCTAAGTAGACTTCTTAAATTGGAAAACATATAGAGGAAGAACTTTATATCTATAAGGCATTAATTTACATCTTATAAGCTATACTTTGGAACTTTAAAATTCGGACTTCTTAGAGAGTAAAATAAGTTACTTATCCGATTTCTTTTGCAGTTTTTTCTTCTGGTTTCTATGAATTTTTCATTGCCAGTACAGATTCTTTTATTGCTTCAAATATTTAAAAGCCACACGTCATTTTCATTATTTCAAATATTTGAAATCACATGCCATTTTTAAAATAAGATCTATGTCATTCAAAGGTAGTTACAAAAAAAAAAAAAAAAAAAAAAAGATGTTAATTCTGCTACATTCGTAAGAACTGATTTGCAACTTTTACATCCGAGGAATAAATGTTTTCTCACTTCAGAAAATACCCTCTTTCCAGAGTCGTAGCTAGGGTTTTCAGCGCCCAGGAACAACTGAAGATTTCGCGCCCCCTACTGCTTGCCAAGGATGGAAAACATTTAATTATAAAATGTCGTTACATCAGCTTGGCGCCCCTTGGATTCTGCGCCCGGGGACAGATGCCCTCTCTAGCTACGCCCCTGCCTCTTTCTGTACATTTTCTTACTCTGCTAGTAAATCTTTAATAAATACAGTGTATTTAAATCTATTCGGAATCAGAATAGAATATTTATTTTTATATTTGTGGAAAAATTTTTATATCATCATCCATGATAATTTGGGAAATAAACTTAAGTTTTAAACAAAGAAATAATTTGGGCTAAAGCAGGTATACCTTAAATGATCAGTGTTGATTCGTAGAATTGAAAGACAAGGTAAAAAAGAATCTGTGATCCACAGAATTTCATGATCACAGATTTTCATGATGATTCGATGATATATCACAAGCTCGGTCAAACCATGCAAAGAAAAGCAGCTTTCCAAGTTAATAGAAAGCGAATATCTAATGTAAACAAATTGAAATTTCTTGGAATTACAACAGACTGAAATCTCATTAGGCTAAAACACCTTCAAGACATTAGGAAAAAAAATTCAGCATTAGTTATCGCAATGAGAAAAATAAGGGGCTATGATTGGAGCTTAAATTATCATATCCAGAGCTACCGTTCAACACCGTGATAGAGAAAATTATTAATTATGGAGCTGCTATCTAGGTTACTTGTGTGACAGAGAGGGAGAAGCAGAAACACTATACCATTCAACGATTTTTCTCCTCCTGCAGCATTTCTAACGCTGCATTGAGAGTACGTCTCGGACTACCTCCATTATATCTTCTAAAAGAGTTAGAGGAGTTTGAAAATAAAGCATTATAGCTCAGGAGGGATGCTTCTTTATAAAAACTAACATACTATCGGAATAACGTTGAATTCCCAACCTCTCTGTATTTTCGGCATGTTGCTAATTTCCCTAACATCAAAACTTACTTTAAGAGGGCCTATAAATACCAGTATGTACCCAATAATACATACATGTGGATATAAAATAGATGAAAATTGGGATTAATCTGCATTTTCCATAAATCTGAAGATCTAAAAATACCGTAGAAAGGGTGGCTGTGACCCGAAAATAGAGTTTTTCAAGAGGAAATTTCGCTATTGAAAAGGCAAAAGAAGTCGCAGTTAATAATAAATGCATATCTTTCTTCTCTAGGTGAAATAAAGAACTTCAAGCAACCTCCTGTAATAGTTCAAGAAGTCTTTCATCTCAGCCAAGAAAACAGCCAAATAAAAATTTCGCTTGGTTGAACAAAAGCACATGCAGGGAATTTAGCAAACAAAAATGCCGACTCTCTTGTTAAGGATGCAAGTACTGCTTCTGATTTAAAATGGCCAAATTTATATCTAAGAAAAGAAACACGCAAGAAAATAAATCAGATGTGACAGAATGATTGAAATTCTGCTTTCCAAGGAAGGACAGCTCATAAACTAATCCATGTAATAAATGGAAAAAACATGTTTTCAATATTTCCCGGTGAAATTAATTTCTATCCAAATAAGTCCATTTTCCTAGGTATTACTAGGAGAGAAATATCTCTTCTGTGGTGAAAGAGACACACCAGAGCACTACATCTTCTTATGCCGACGAACACAAGCACACCACAACGTTCGATCAGCTACAAACGAACTCGAAATTCAAATCTTATCATAAACAATCCGAAATTCATCACAAAATCAACAGTGTTGTCAAATACTTTTCGGAACAAAAACAATCTCAGTGTAGGATGCTTCATCGAATCCCTGTTCCCACTAGTTTGTCATCAATTACCCTTGCCGAATGCTGAATTGCAGAAAGCGATTTTGCGTATAAGCGCTATCTTAAATGTCTCCATTTAATTTTCCTAACGCTAGAATTTCAAATTATACGCAGGTCGCTGCAGACTGCTGGCTAATTTGCTATGGTCTCCTCTAAATTATTAGGAATTCATTCACTAAAGAAGTCAAAAATAACTTACAACAGCAAAACCTGACGACTTTAAAGTTCTCCTAATTCTCGATAGTGCTCCAGGACACGGTAATAAAGCCCTCACAGCAAAGCATCCAGAGTTGTTTTATTCCTTCTAAAGACCTCACTTTGTTAGTTCAGCCAATGGATCAAAGAATCATTCAAGCATTCGAAGTCTATTATGTCAGGCATGTTCATATCTCTTCAAATAAAGGACTAGATGAAGATTGCTGGCATTTGCTGGCATCAGCTCTGGTCCAAATCTTTCGACAGTTTTAAAGGATTTCCATCGACTGAAAATGAAGCCAAGGAAATTGCCATTTAAACGTACGTAAAGACAAGAAATAGAAAATATTGTTAAAAGAGACTTACATATTGTTTCAATTCTGTAATGGAGATTAACTCAAATGAAGAAAGAGGTTACTTTATGAGAAGTACTAGAAAACTTCACACTCTAGTGAAACGTCTAATGAGTTCTGCCAGACATTGTCCCAAACAAAAGTCATCAGCTACTTAAAATTTAATTGCGACGTGCACAAGTTTATTAAGCAGTAATAGAAATTCTTTCAATTAATATTTAATTTTTCACTTTTAACTACAATAAGATTTTGGTTTGTGTAAATTATATGTACTTTCTCAATCTGAATTACACATTGCTCTTTTATTCCCGTAAAATGGTTGGGCATTTTCGTGGTTTTTTCCTATGTGTAACGTGAATACGAACGAGTTTTGCTTAGAAAGTCTTCGGCGAAGGCATCCCTTCCCATAAGCGACCAACCGTAAAAATCAACCAAACCGTAAAAAGGTAACTTTGAGGAAAGGGATTTTTCCATATATGAAATGTACTGATGACGTAACCCCTCGTGTTCGGCAAGGGTTTGCTGTATTTTACTTCTTTTAAGCTTCGACTTTAACTATGCATTTTGGCTTCAATACTTAAAAGAATTCCCCTGAACCTTATAACAAGATTTCTGAGATCTAACTGTGATAGTAAGATTTATAAAATTTACTTTTATTAATGTTAAAACATTAATATATTAACAGTTTTGGACCTCGAAGCTAAAATATTGCTCAGAATTAAGACATTAGGATAAATATTATAACTCCGAGCAAAAATGAAGTAACTTCTTACTAACAGATCCATGATAAAGCTAGTTTCTATGTTCATGTTTTTTTAACAACTCAGGCAAACCAACACAAATAAAAGAAAGAAATTTTATTTTGTTTAAGTTCTGAGTAAATGCACAGCTATAACTTAGGCGTTCGAGGCATATGATGAAGTATATCTGATCACTGCAGAGTATAGTATATGGTTAAAAAGCTAAATCTATGTTAGTACCTGTCTTTGAAATGTTCGATTTCTTTCAAGTAGGAACAGAATGTTCTTCAGATGTAAAATAAAATGATATATTAAAGTGATATATTAAAAGTGATATATTAATCTAATATATAAGCACTTTATACTCTAGGCCAGTGTAGTCCAACCTTTAGTTACACGGGGGCCAATCAAACGTTAGTATAGGAGAGTGAGGGCCAGAGCCATTAAAGAAAAAATGAATTGCACATTAATATATCACTTTATTTTACAGTCTAAAAATCAATCTGATGATTACCACTGCTTTTTTTATACAAGTTTATCGATATCCACTGTCATTTCAGAAAGGCAAAGTCTCAGGCTCCATTCCAGTGAAGCACTTTCAGTGCGATTTCTCGTTTTTGATTTAATTTTTTTGAGAGCAGAAAAAGCATTTTCACACAACTATGTACTGCCAAACAGTGATAACATTTGCGAAGAGAATTTATGCAGTTTGAGCAAACGTTCTTTAGAAATCTGTTTCCACAAATGTTCAGTGACATCACACTTTTTAACTTGGTAGAATGGATCTGCATGAAGATCACAAATTTCTATTTGAAGGTCGCAAGTCACCTCACTTACTTCAATCTCCATGGGGTTCTTTAACAATGGAAGTTTTGTTTTTAGGGAATCAAAATCCTGGAATCTGTCCTGGAACTCTTTCTTGATATCAGTAATTACTATTTCTTAAAATCTACTAAAATTTGTGTCATTTTCTTCTTTCAGCTGCTGACAAAATGGGAAGTGTGCCGTATTCCAATTTTTCTTGTTACTCATGCCCAATGTTTTCTTTTTTTGAGAGAAGCAAGAATTTTTTTTCCTCAACCATAAAAACTGCTGCAGACAATTTCCAGCACTTAGCTAGAGCACTTGAAAGTACAATAAAATGTCACTATACTCAGCATCCAAATTTTCCATAAATGCTCTGTGTCTCTGGGCTTTGTCTTCCGTTATTAAATTTACAATATTTACAACAGTTTTCATTAGCTGAGTCTTATAATTTTTATTATTTAATTATTATATTTAATATAATTATTTATATTTATTATCTATTATTTAAAGCAGTAAGAACGGTTTTTTGTTTTTCCAAATATTTATCTAACATTTTTTTTTTTTTAGTAAAGAAGGGCAAGTGCCAACAAAATGAATAAGAGCGCCACATGCGGGCCGCAGGTTGGACCACGCTGCTCTAGTCATACAGATTATATTAAAGTTTCTTTTTATTTTCCGTCAAAGAAAAAATGCTAAGCAGCTTTTGCTTGTCTTACATTTAATTTTCCTTAGAGTAGAGCAAGAGGAAGTTTTGTTACCTGTTTGTCAAATAAAATTTGTTCATTAGTGAACTTTGTTAAAGTTGGGGCGTTTCGCCTTCTTTGCTAACACAGAATGTACAAAACGCTGTAGACACTCTAGTGTAATGGTGTCTAAGCACCCGGGCATAAGGAAGTGTGTCTAAGCATATTTATGATCCCTATAATAAATTTACTTTATAGATATACAAAAGTATGAAACGAAAGGTTAACTCTCCAACTGTAGTTTGACAGTATTGGAAAACTCATTAGAGGTGATAGCATTCAAAATGGCAATTTCAACGGAAAACAATCTCTGTGGAAACAAGCAAAATTTCTATTAGTAATCATTGTTTAGAGACATTTCTGAATAAAACTTCTTAAAAATGCATCTAATGAATAAATTTAATTTTCTAAAGTGAGATTTGATCTCGGTACGTTGGGGCTCATGTTAATTGTGCAGGAAAATAAAGTTATCAATTTTCATGCAAAAGCTTTAAAAAGTCAATAGCTTATTCTAGAATATTTTTGATTTCTCAAATAATAGTTTCTATAATATGTGTACTGTCCCGTATCATTTATTTTAATTTTCCTAAAACTCACTGTAGGAGTCAAAATTTTAAGAAAAATATTCAATTTGTTTTTTAAAACGAGTGACTCTTCACTCAAATGACAAATCTTTTCCAATATGTATTTCTAAAGACCAATACATATTCTTCCGACTTCAGTTCAGGTTTAATAAAACCAAAGAACAATTATGAATAAGGAGAACTAAAGGAAACTAAAAGAAAATGCTTGTTTTCTACTTGAAAGAATAACCCTCAAATGCATCGTATCGTTTTAAAGTTATAATTTGTTGGAATATACGTTTCTGATTGCTAAGCAGGATAACTAAAACTCCGCATTTTTGTAAAACCATGTTAATTACTCAAAAATGCAAAATTCTTATTAATTTACATCAAGTGTTTCTTTATTTTTTGAGCAATATATATATATGGATTTGTGAATCTTGGAAAATCCAGCTGCGGCTCTCGAGGTTTCATGAAATTTACCATGCGGCTTCTATCGCAGTGAAGTTTAACCACCCCTATTCTATTACATCAAATGGACATTTATTTCACTAACGGCAAGTTAGAAAAAGAATAGATTATATTTTATATTCTTCATAGAATATTAAAATAGTTATGTTTCCGATTTCGAGCTACACTTTAAAGCGCTGTTTAAATTTATTTATAACATTGTAAGATTCTCACCTGCGTTCTTTTAAGTTAAAGTTGAAGAATCTTAAGAACTGGTAAGCGAATAATCGCTTGAGTTCGTGAGACAGAAACTAAGACTTGGGAAGGGTTAAAGACCAATTATTATTCCAAATTAAATTCACAGAATTCCTTCTTGGAGTTTTGCAATAAAGCCTCTACTCGGGCTTGAACTCAGGAGCTAAGAAATTAAACTTAACTAATCTTAACTAAAAAGACATAGCCGACGCTATCAGAATTCTAACGGAGTTAGCCCCTAAGCTTTGAATAACGGCGAAGATATCAAGGGCCTAAGAACGGCGGCCTGAGAGAGAGTAGCCTAAAAAGGCGGACGCGCGCTAGAATCACTGGTTCTCTCTCACGAAGTCAGTAGAACTTCACAGTTCCTCATTTTCACTTCACCTCATTTGCATTCAACCGCAATTCTAAAAATACGTTCTGGCCGGAAGTTGTAAGCTTGAAATTAAGAAGCAGGACAGGACAGGAAGAAGTACACGTGGCACCATATGTTCGCTATGAGCAAAAATGGTATTACCTCGGTGTACTACCTTTCCATGTTTATTGAGAATTAAACAAGGTGACATGCAATCATACAGATGTTATACATTTGGATATACAGAGATGCATATTGATACACTTGGTGATGGCAATGTTCATAGGTAGGTGAGATACAATAAAGTTCGTAATAATAAATAGATACAATATCATGGTATGGAGGTAAGGCACAGATATGAACGAAGACTGAAGGCACATTAGAAATGTGTGTTTGGTGGAGATAACAATGGCACTCTGAAATTATTGCAGAATGAGAGGACTGAAGATTAAGGGTGGCATATATTGAGTCGTTGTTTGTGGAGGTAGTCGATGATGTTCTTTATGTGACTAAATGTTTTTCGGTGCTTGATTAGAAATCGCCTGAATTCTAGACCTGGGTTGCCTGGATGACAGATATGGTGAACAGACGTCATTGGACAGTTGAAGATGTAGTGCTCTGGGTCCCCGTTGCGTCCGCAAATACATCTGTCAGAGGAGGCTTTGTGTCTATTGTAGAAGTAGAGGAAAAATGCGCCGTGGCCCGAGATGTACTGGGAAAGGAAATATGATAAAAAAAGTAAAGTTTGCATCTACTTTAGGGAGGAATTCATATATTCGTCTTCCTTGTTGTCCATGGTCTCATTGATGTTGGCATTGTGCGGTTGCAAGTTGTTTCAGCTTGCTTTATAATGCTGACTTTGGCCACGGGATTGAGATTGAAGTGCCTATTTGGTGGATAGCTGCGTCTATCCACCAAATAGGCACTAAGGAAATTAAAAAGCAATAAGTCAGTAACTTTGACTCAAAATTTAACTTTTATACAAATTAAGATAATCCTTACAAAATATTTTAGAATGTTTCTAAATTCTCGCTCATAAACTTCTCTTATTTTGGCTCTTGAACTTGGCTTTCTTCTAAAATTTTGAATTGGACATATGAGTTCTTGATATTGTTTAAATTATGTAGCCGTTTAACGAGAGACTTTTAAAATGAGCCCTTCTGATTTAATACTGTGTTTTTGAAATAATCTGGATGTATTTACAACCGATGTATTTAAAATTCTAGAACTTTTGTGCATTAAAGGATTTGAGAATTACCTAGAGATTGGTTTAAAAGTTTTTCTTTGTTGAAGATCTTATTTTAATATTGCTCAATAAAATCGAGAGCAAATTAAACAAAAAAAAAAAAAAAAAAAAAAAATATTTAAAAATAGAAAAAGAAGTTTTTTTTTTTTTTTTTTTTTTTTTTTTTTTGTCGTGATACAGAACAAAAGTTGATTAAAGAGTTTGCACTGAGCTACTGAAGTAATATAGACTGGTGACGACATTTTTGTAAGTCGCCATCACATTCAATGAGAAACAGAAAGATAAAAGCGTAAAACAATGTAACATTGCCCACTTTTATTATATCATTTAAAATTCCAGCATTATATGTTCTCGATGAAAAATTTCAGTCCTGTTTAAGAGAAGATTAAAAAATAACTCTCAGCTGCCAACACACTGCCATTTTGCTAGATAGCATGCTAGCAGCTTTTTGTATACTGGATGTCAAAATTAAAGAATAATCTGATGAAATATGTACGCTGATTAGTGTTTCTAAGCAGTGTTCAATGGTGTAGTTATTTATCTTGGTTACTGCAAGCGAACCCAAATACCGGACTTCTGCTTATAGGTTAGGGATTGAAATATGGAACTAAGCTACTGACAACGGCTTGAATTGGCGCATGCTGGATTTCTGAATATGTAGTGTTGTTTAAAGTTCTTGCGGTTCCTTAGAATGATCGCATTTATTATTTAGGATTCAAAGACATCATTTAAATTAAGAGCAAAAGTTTATTGGTAGCCTTAAGAGGGGGACACACATGTAGGTTGTCCAAGGTCTAAATATTCTTCAAATATCACATCGAGAACTTGGAACCGATATCTAAGCAGTGAATCATTTAGGAAACTGTCTGGTATAGAGTGGGTAAAAACAATAACTGCATCCAAATAACCTCCGCTTTTTTTGTCACTAGCATTTTGAAGAAGGTTTAAAAATGAAATGACAACGGAGTTGTATGAAAGCTACAGGTTGCCACATGACTCGAATCAACCGTTGCACTGCTCTACGATAAGAGATTACACTTTATGCGATAAAAACAATGGCTTCAATCTCACTCAGTCAGTTTTTCAAAGAGGACTGGTTATAGTGGTGTCGTTGCATGTTCAATGGAGCCAAGATAAACGGGACCATGTAATTGATTACTAGCTCGAACAATGTCTCCGCTGATCTTCCAGGAACTGAAAACGGTGCTTTCCTTTGTCAGAAGTGACAAAATGCTTGTAAGGATCTTAAGTTTTACTAACGTTTATTTTATTTTAAATCTTTACTATCACTTCTTATTTTCTACTTCCGGCCAGAATTATAAGCGTTAAGGTTTTTATGCAAAGTTTGTCTGGCGAACGCCAAGTATTTAAGTTGTGGCTTTTTGCCAAGCGAGAGAGAGGAAGCAGTGAGTCGAAGCAGGCCGCTTACCTTAGAAGTTTTACACAGTTGCTTGTTGCCTTCCAGGCCAGAGGTTTTAATCCCTCTTGATAAGTTTTAAACGTATTGTAGTGTTCACAGTTCCCTGTACTACATACGCTTCCTGTTAATATAAGACCAATCTAATAATATAAGACGTTTATTATTTTAAAGTTAAATTAGAGTTTAGTTTTATTTTTATACTTTTACGTTTTGACCCCAAGTGGTGGGTCAGTGTATTCCGAAGTACGGAAATTATTGTAAATAGAGAAAATAAAGGGTTTTGTATACCCTTCTTGTGTATCCTGTCTACTTCCCACAGTTTGAACATAGCTTTAGTAAGCTCTCTGTTCCGAGTCAGGTCCTTGCATGTTCCCGAAGAAGGTTAGAAGGAACATTGACCCTGATAGTGCGCCCAACGAAGAAGAATAACCATGGCCGAGTTTCAAGAAGAACCTGTGCTGCCTGCAGAAACGGCTCAGAATCCAGAAATGCCAGCTGCCGCCCTGGAAGGATTTGGTTACATCGTCCAGACCATGCGCGCTTCGATGAAACCAGAAGCAACATTTAATGGAAACTCACCGGTAACGAGTTTTTTTGAAAAATTGGATGACCACTTCATGCTCTACCCCGTGCACGAATTTCAAAAAGTTACCTTAGCTACCAGCGCTTTGAGGGGCCAAGCGCTTAACTGGTTCAAATGTATAGGCAGAAGTCTCTTGGGTCAAGCAGGAAGTCCCACCTATACTTACGTGAATTTCAAGACTGCCCTACTAA